CAAAGAGTATCATCTCACTCGGAAAATATTATTAAAAGTATTCCTGATGAAAGAGTTCAGCATTAAAACTCAGGCATAGTAACAAATCAAAGTTTCTGAAATTTGTTGTTAAACTCAATTTAAAAAAAAAAAAAGAGTTCTGTGGTTTGCTCTTTATAATTACTTTACAATTAATCTTCCTGGCAGTGGCATTAGAGAGCAAATAAATCCTTTTAATCAGTTAAGCTATTAATTTACAGATTTTAGTTCCATCTTGAACTCTGTTACATACTGATTACCTCAATTACTTTGTCAATAGTATGTGCACAAATACATTAAAAGTTATATAAAACAGCTTCTTGAAACACTGTGAAAAAATCATGCAACTGCCCCCAAATCACTTTCCAAATCCAATGTCCTAACCTGAAATACAAACTTATTGATCAAGAAGTACAAAAGCAAAATAGATAAAATAAGTTATCACATGAAACCACTTGATCTAAATCTACTGTAGTAAAAAATCGGAATCCAGCAGCCATTTAAGATATGCTACTGATTAAAAAAGTAGTTATCATGTTGGATTTACATAATCTGTTTTTAAAACTTTGAATCCCTCTGAGATTTTAGAGGAGTGGTCATCACTCACAGAAATTTAATAAGGCAAGAAATCGGAAAAAAAGTAATTTCTTTTTCCAACACCACATTACCTATTTATGTCCCAAAAAGTGCACAAATGGACAGGAAAAAATGAAGTTTTTCAAAATTATCTCAGAATACAGTCATTACTCTACTATCTGATCAAGACCAATTCCCAAATACTATGTGCTGTTCAGAAAGTCTGTTTCCTTAAAAGAGAAGGAAAAACAGGAGAGAGAATTTCAGTGTTCTATGTGACTGCAGCAAAACTGCCCTGTTGCTATGTAAAACAGCACATAGGAATACAGAATTTGGCCTCACTAGATCAGAACAGAAGTCTAAGAAGGTTAATGTTCTCTCTTTAGAAACTGCTTATGCGTTACACTTTAAAGACTGGTGAAGGAAAAACCGAATTTGTCTGAAGAATTTGTCGGTGTGATACACACAAAAAGGAACAGAGACAATATTTTCCAAACCTTGTGGCTGTCAGCCTGCACCTTTCAGCACTAAATGTCTCTATTAGTACTTTATATGTCAGGTTGGAATTATGAACTTTACTGATGGTTAGTTACTAAATGACTTATCCCACAATACACTACACTCCCATATTTTAAAGAAAATTTTAGGTGCATTAAATCAAAGTACTCTTGATATCAATTCAAATTTACACTGGGGATTTGTTTGCTTTTCCAAAAAAAGACGACTTTAAAATTTTAACTTTTTAGGATAGACATCTTCTCTTTTTAGGCAGTTTTCAGGCCTGTAGCACTGTGGTTTATATTTTTAGATTATGAATACATGTAGTTGCAATATAATATATTAAAGTTTCAAATAAAAGCCTCATTTCAACCAGCTGGATTATATGGTTATGGTATAGCCCTGTGGTATACCACATCTACAGGTGTTTCTATGGTATAGGAAAAAGAGCATGGGTGCACATCTTCTCAAACAGCTTAGTGAAATCTTTTAGCTTATTAAACATAAAATTGCACCTTTTATTCATCTCCATAAGAATATGCTTTCAAGTTGGCGACAGTTCTTCAGTAGACCCTCCTGGTATTGGTCTCCAGCATGGTCTAACAAAAATTTCACTGTATTTAAGTCGTTACAAATTTGGTAGGGTTTCAAGACATAAAAAGCAACATAAGACCCACACTGACTTTCTTGACTGATTCTCTTATAATTAAAGTCTAATTTAAAATAGCTCTAACTACCTTATTACTTAATGAAAAACATGCATACTTAAATAAAGAATAAAGTCAGAATGCTTTGGAATTATCAAGGCAAGAAACTGGAAACAAGCAGTGAATACTTAACTTGTATGGAAGTTAAGAGGCGTTTTGGGGATGTTACAAATATAAATACAGGACAGTGATTGAAAATGCTACATTCCCATGTGTCTTGCTCTAAATTTTTGTAACCTTTAATGAAAATCATTGAGCTACATTTGAGCACAAAGATACAAATATCTGAGAATGCTCACAGCCTACAAAGCAGAAGCTGCAAATGTAAGTAGTTTCCGTGTGTAAAGTAGCTTTCCTTACCACGCTTTCATCAATAAATCAAACTCCACCTCCCTTGTTAGGGCTTAAGAGGCTGAAAGACGTAGCATAAGCCTTGCAATTCTCACAGACTTGCACATATGTTAGGCACCCTATGAAGGGGATTAGACTCCCTGCACTGGTCTTACTGTGTGTTTTAACATGCAGGTTTTGTGGGTAGATTTCCTGTTTTTGTTTCGCATTCGACTAACAGCTATCTTCACATTCTGTTTATTTTACCCTTTCTGTTTTGCAGCACCACAGGCCTCACCTAGGTCATCTCTGTTAATAGGATAATTAAGACTTACACTAGCGAGCGTGAGCTTGCAAAAGTATCAACAAACAAATTTATCAAATATATCAAAATCAAAATTTATCAAATACAAACAAATTTATCAAATATACAAAAACAACTACACAAAAATAGTTCAGATTCATAAAACAGGAGTGTTTTATACGAGTTCCCTTTAGGTAGTGTCTCTTCAGAGGCTCATAAATCATCAGTTTACATTGAAATTGAAATAAATATGAGCACAGTAGATAGAATACAGTATTATGAAGGTTTTCCTTAAAACTAAGTATATAAGTTGCACACAGTGTTTTAAATGGCATCAGACTTAGCTGTCCGTTAGTCTCAAACAGCAGTCAGCAGTTGTAACTTGCTTAAACTTTCACAAGTCTTACTGCTCAAAATGGACTGGTTTGATAACCAGGTTATGCAGCTTTAAATTTTACTTTATATTTCAATTTACTTATTTGTAGAAAATATTAATTTTTAGCTCAGGCACATTTTAATTCAAGAACAGTTTTTGCTTATTAATTTCTCATACTACCATAGAATTCCATGTGACATATAAACCTAACAGATCTTAGAGAGATGTAAATCAACCTGTAAAGAGAAAATATTCTTTCCGTAGATTTAACTTCACTGTAATACAAGCCTCATTATTATGGGCTAGTGTTTTAAGACTGCTGTCTAATAAATCTAAAGAATATTTGTTCCAAATGTGTAATACATTTGGAACATTTGCTAACTGTATCACTTCCAAACTTGACTCACAAAGACATATTCACTTCATGCACCTCACTTTGTAAAATCAAGAGTTAGACCAAAGATAAGTTTGACTTCTTGTTTTGTTCTTACTCAAATTACAAAAAAGAACAGTAAAGAATACATGATGAAGTTTGGTTATTTCCCACAAGAATAAAAAAAGGAAAGTGAGGTGATTAAACAGTTTGAAGTAGAGGACCTAAGATTTAGAACACAGATTGACCAACCTGACAAATTTGTGCAGTCATATCAGATGACACTGCTAGGTGTAACCCAAAATACAGTATAGTCTAAATTTTCAATACCAATTCTGATGGCAGAGCTTTTGTTGCCTTTCTTTCAGAGAGACAATGTAAGTGCTAATTCTTTTTTTAATACAAAGCCCCCTAAAGGACTTTCAAGTTGGCCAACTGAAAGACTGCACATTCTGAAATACTATTCACATTTGATAATTTTGCCCAGATTTAGCAGATGAAAGTGAGAACAGCTGTTTGTATACTGGAAGTAATCTTATTTATTCGTATTTATACACACACACAAAAAGCACTATACCTATCCATGTGTTATACACAATTGAATACCTGAAAATTCAACACAACAAAGGCCCATTAAAAGCTCAATTGTAACTATAAAAAGAAACTATCCAAATAACTATGAAAATTGAGCAATTTGGTAAAGAATTAAAGGGTTTCCAAGGGATTTGCAAATTCCAAAGGGATCAGATTATTTTTTTCCAGTGCCAGAAGTGTACCACATGAAGAATACAGCAATTAGTTAATCTATTTGAGACATGGCAGAAGGAGAAAAGCATATCTGAAAGTCCTAATATCCCGAAGAACAACATATTTCTAAGCTTTCTTCTCATATTCTCATACTAGATTGGGGTAACAGTTCAAACATCCCCTCTGATCTCTTCTCTGCTACTCTAACATTAACAACTTTTCAGGCAGATACATAATCAGTAACTGGTGTAAAAGCTAATACTTTAAGGCATTTCCCAAAATCCCGCAGACAGCATAGTTCTAGGAACTCAAGCTGAATATTATCATAGTCATAATTCACTGCACAAACAGATATTGCACTGTCATTATCTTCTGAATGTTTTTCATGCATGGCCCTATATACTCTTACATGTAGTGACAAAGACATTGGAGCCTTCATCTGACAGTCTTGTTTAATTACGGGGTTAAAAAAAAGTCTCCGCTCAAAGCATGGGTACATTTTCTTTTTAACAACTGGTTACATTAATGTTTTCAGTGATTCTGATCAATGGTTTTGAATTGCCCAAGCATCTGGCCAAATTTAAAAGAAGATTGCTACAAAACCCTAGATGTTTTAGGAAGGAGATCCTTATTTTCAGATCTGCCAGACTTCATTATTTGCATGGTTGTTACCTTATCCGCTATGCTATTTAAATTATACTTTTTATATCTCCATAGTCTTGCCCAAAAGAAGACATCTAGCACTTTCATTGACTTCCGATTTGGTGACTCACAGATATCCTTTGAATTCAGACTATTTTTACATTAATTTATCAGTGTAATTATCATAAAAAAATTTTGTACATGAAAGTGCAAAGTTATTGTGCTAATGTATTTAAGATGTTTGCAGTAGCGCAGGCTGAGTGGACATTTATTACCAAAAAGCCTTATTTTATCATAAATGTGACCCATTACAACAATAATGGAAATATCATACTCCTTTTAACATTTCGCTTGAGCTTTTTTCTGCTTGCTAGGCATTCTAGTTATGAGCTCCATTGTGCCAAGGACAGAGCAGTCTTTTCCAGACACTTACCCTCTGACAGCATGAATAAGTCTCAGTGATGGATAGGCGGTTCGCACTTTCAATTTATTCTTAAGGATTAATGCATTAACCCACTCCACATGCTTCTCTCCACCTTTGACCATGAAAGCAGGGATCCAAAGGACACTGTCATTCAGCATGGACAGTCTATGCACAAATTTTTCTCTGTCACTCTCATTCCGAAAGCCTCCAAATGCTCTTTGTACAACTGATGGGTTCATGGTAATAAAATCAGATTTAATTCCCACATCGGCAGCAAACTCCACCACAGGAGCTAGATTGCACCTGAAGAGGAAGAAATTAATGGAAAAATGAAAATAAATATGAAGCATTAACTCAGAAAAACATGTGTATGAAGGAAAAGCTGAAAATGAACATGCAAGCCCGTTTCAATTTAAAGTGAGAAAAAAAATCAGTGATAAGAGATGTCATAACACGTAGCATTTTACCCAGCTTGGACACTTATTAAACATTTTTTTTAAAAAACATTAAATGTACATAATGCTGCGAGAAAAAAAAAATTCTTTGTACATTTGAAAACCATGACATCATGCTTTAAAATGCATCAACAGCTAGAGTAGCACTTATGAATAAGAGTATGCTTTCTAACACCTATTACCTTTCATTAATGTTCATTAGTCATTTTATTACCAACAGCTCACACTCTTAAAGGAAGCCTTGCCAGCTAATTAAGGTATAATATATACAGGTTAGTCATTGGATTTTTTTTTAAATACAGTATTTATGAGCTACAGATGAACTTTAACACATGTTAAATGAGTTTTGGTATTTTGGGTTTTGGTATTATCACTGCTGCTGATCAGATGTTTTGAAATTAGTATTTTCATTTCATTTAGAAATGAAATTATTAGAAAAAAGTATTAAAATTTCCATTTTCAAATTTTTGAAATTTTTCCGGTTTTGTTTCATTTTCAAACCTTGTTTAATTTTGCAGTAGCTTTGTGCTTTTTTCTAGGCTTGGGAAAAAGGTCTCATCAGGACTTTGTTCAGCAGTTTTTTACCTCAGTTATATAAATATACATATCTGTAATGACACAGAGGCAGCATTCTATGTGGGCAGCACTGGATGCAGGTGACAAAATGCAATTCAGAAATTAATTGTGATTTCAGTGACCAGTATGATCCAACTGAAACAAATCACCTCCACAACATCCTCAGTGAATTAGCCAGTAGCTGGTATGCCCCAAATAAGTATCCTAACACAAAAATATTTTCACAATTTAACAAACAACTGCTCTTTTGAGGTGAAAGATGCTAAGAAGCAACATTAGAAATAGGTCCTTCAAAACATTTGCATGTTATTATATTCTTCGTATAAATAGTGTTCTATTAGTCTACAATTCTTTTCCGATACAGTAAACTTTTTACTTAAGCTTATCTCTTAGCATCTTCTAATGGCCAGATTTCCAAATAACTGAAATCACCAGGGCAGTACTGATTAACATCAACTGATGACCTAGTCCTGACTAATACTAATTCCTCAGAACACAATCTTCATTCTCTAATTATCAACTAAAGAAGTGGTCCTATCTTCTTCAGAAAGAGATGTTCTAAAGACTATCAAGCCTATATATTCTTAGGAAATGATGTTACACAAGTTTCTGAGGATATATACGCAGATGTAACTTTCTTAGGAAACAGACTTACATTCTTCAGTATGTCAGTGCGTATATTCCAGAAACCATCTGCATGTATTACAGGCTGCTAAGTAATATATTTTAGAAAATGGTAGTTAGGGCACAAGAAAAACTCACGTTGATTTCAATATTGGCTTTGAAAATTGTTTCTAAAAACTTTAATGCATGAACCTATAACCTGGAATTGTCCAAAGTTTGGTGTTACATAAAATCTAAAAATAAAAAAAATCAAATCAAGGACTTAAAATCAACCAATCAAATTCACTGAATTACTGCTGCTCTTGAAAATACCTCCTTTAAGGGCAGACTGCACAACATAATGAAGGATTCTTGCACAGCAGGGTTTTTTTCAGTAGTCACATATGTATGCATATGATGACATCATTACTTATAAACGTTAAGACAGAGCTTGACATTTCAAATCCTGCTCTGTCTGTGTCCATCTTTGAGAATCACCTATGTACCAACAGTACCTTGTTTAAAAAGCTGTACACCATATGCAAAATGTGCACATATAACACAAGCCTTATAGTTCTGATGATTCCATGTCTATTGATAGCTCCTTTCTGAGCTGCCAACAGCATCAGTACCCAAATCTTAAAAGTGTATGTAGTTTGAAAATAACTTGTTAATATCCAATGTAATATTACCTAAAATACCACTAATATCCTAATATACCTAATATACCACTAAATATCACTAAAATACCAATGTAATATCACCTAAATCCTGAAAAAATCATCATAGGCATACCAAATACAAGGTCTACCTACCTTGCATGTGATTACTGCCTCATCAGTAGTATATACTTAATATCAAATACTGTATTTAAGAAAGGTATACAGTGTAAGCAGTATAAATTATTAATATATTGCGTATTCGGATTTTTCAAGTATAACTTAAAAAAATAACGAGCAATCCAAATGCACTCAGTAACAATGGGGTTGTCTACGAACAGTTATTTGGAATATTACTCATATTTTTCAAGCTTTAGTGTGTCAAATTAGACACCTGACTATAATATTAGAAGCAGGTAAGGCATTTTGCTTTCCAAATGCCGAGCATCTCTTAACCTTTGATCTTTTAAAATTCAGTTATATAAATATGGATTAGTAGCAGTGCTGAAGTTTTAAAGAATGTGACAAGCACTTGGGCACTTTGAAAGGCTGTTTTCCAAGATGTAACTAGATGCTGTTGCAGTACACTTCTAAGATTGCTAATGTAGTAGAACATGAATGTAAGGCAAGCTTTACACAAATTTCTAGCTCTAAGGAAATAAACATTACTAAATTAGTTGTAGTTGAAGAAGTTAGAAAAAATATTAGTCATTAAGCCACCTCTCGTTTTCTTACTTCCTTCGAAGAATGATTCTAGTGCTCATTAAATTGGAAGTGTAAATACTGAATATTTACTGTACATTTATACACAAAGTTGGAAAATATAAAACACCTGCTAAAATCTATCACTTAAAACCAGTGCATTCTTCTGTAGGGAGTAAATGGAGCAGTGATGTCAGAAGTTTTTCCATATGAATTCAATAATTTATGTGCTAGTGATGAACTAAGACACTTACCCCAAACTGCTAGTACCAAATAATTTATATATCCAGGTAAGTTCAAGAAAATTTTCTAGAAAGGTATCACAGAATCATAGTATAGTTTGGGTTGGAAGGGACCTTTAAAGGTCATCTAGTCCAATGCCCCTGCAGTGAGCAGGGACATCTTCAACTGCATCAGGTTGCTCAGAGCGCCATCCAACCTGACCTTCCAGGGATGGGGCTTCTACCACCTCTCTGGGAAACCTGTGTCAGTGTTTCACCACTCTCACTGTAAAAAAAACTTCCTCCTTCTCTGTGGTCTAAATCTACCCTCTTTTAGTTTAAAACCATTACCCCTTGCCCTATCAATACAGGCCCTGCTAAACAGTTTGTCCCCATCTTTCTTGTACGTTTCAGGGGTAATAAAACTAGCTATTATATATTTGCATATAGACCTGAGTATATGTAAATAGCTTTTGTTACCTGTTTCAAAGCTTTTATCTTAATCTCTAATGCATCTTTATCCTATGCCACAGTTTCATACAGTTGTCGGATTTTTTAATTTTATCTTGTTAGCAGATGTCAATGATGTCCCATCAATTGTCAGGACTCTTCAAGAAAGCTTTGTATTCAGAGACGCACATAAACTAATACTTATTTTCTTTTAAGTAAAACTAAGAAGCCTATTAACTGAAAAACTTTGAAATAGGCAGCGCAATACCCTTCCCTTGTTATATTCTTTATTTTTAGCTCATTTGTCGTAAGGCACAGAATGCGGAATATATCCACAACAGCGATGAGGAGGTGAGGGGGACTCTGCACGACAAGCCTTACCATTATGTGCCTAGGAATTTGTACACAACAAATGAAACCTTGCTTTTTTTTTTTTTTTTTTAAAGCAATCATATAGTTGCAAGGTATCAATAATGTGGCATGTGAGAATGAGGAAACTGCATAAATTAGTCTTCTGTTTATTCTTCCTGCTGGATTTGGTATAGCAATGACAACTCTCCCATGTATCAGTTACAGTGGGATGTATTAAGAAAAAGTGTGGGGAAAAAACAATCACACTTACATTAAAGTAATCAACCCTGGGTTTGTTGCAACACCTTTATGTCTCAAAGACATCCATAACATATTTAGTCTTTGAAACAGCAGAGGTTAAGAAAGAAAACAGTAAAATCATATTCATAAAAATGCGCTCAAATGAGAAGTCAGTTATTCCACAGAGACTCAGTTGAACTTGCTTAGTCACTAATAAACATGCAGCTCATGTGTAAGCACAAAAATGTCCAATACTTAATATTCATAGGCCATATATCAGTATTTTCAAGTTAATTCTAAATAAAAGCCATAAAAATTTGCTTGAGTAAAAGTGATTACTATTTCCATTTTATTTGACATCGAGAACTAAAAGAATATTCTTCATACAGTAATAATGCAAGAATTGGCCATGAATCTGTACCCTTGTTAGTCCTTTAACAATCTGTATACTTGTGGTTTACAGGTTGAAATAAATATTTAGAAACCACTCTAAACCCCAAGCTGCACAAAAGCACTGTAAAAACATACTCTGTTTCATTAATATCTTCTTGTAGAGCAAAGCTGAAAATAACCATCATTACTTATGATTCGATTGTTGCTGGAAGACGTCATATTTAGCCTCCCTGAAACATAAGGCATTACCTAAACTAGTATCAATAACATACAGTTTTTCCTGAATAGCCTGCAAGTTTTCATATTCAGGTTCATATCCAGACTCCTGTAAGAACGAAAATTGCAATGTGAATTCAAAGATTCTTGACATTTTAAGAAACACTTGGATATGAAAGTAAAACTCAAGGCTCAAGCACACAGGAAGGAAAAAAAAAGTTACATTCAAGGCAGCAGACAACCTCACAGCTGGAGTATTCTCTCTCCAGTCTCCTTGAAGGAAGCACATCACCCTAATACCTGTGTATATATAGCACATCATTTCACCCGATTCTTCAAATAAAGACATGCAGCAGTACTGTGATAACTTTCACATACACATATAACCAAAAAAGGGAGAGTTAAACAAAAAATAAATGCATAAGCCTCCTATCTCCCCCTGCCAGATCTAATGATTAGTAAAATGTATGGATTCTCGCATCTTCGGTATACTTGTTTGGCTCTTGACAAAACTAAAATTGCTTCAAATGAACTACAGGGATCTGGATTAGCAGGGAATCTCATGACATATCCCACTTCATTCCCATCCTTATCCTCTGCAGGGCACAACAGAGAATGTTTCATGATAGCTGCAAGCTGAGTAGAGGCTCAGGTACTGCATAATTATGGGTTCTGTTCACACACAGGAATCACAGCTGTCTTTTAAGATGTGCCATGTAAAATACACCATTATTGACCAGATATCCCCTTTATACCACAAGTCCACAAGAATCCTGAATTTATGACTTATTTCACTTTAGTTAGAAGATGCATTTTTGTAACATCACCTGCTAATAAAGCTTCATTTACTTCTTGTTGTCCAAACTAGAACCTATACTATATATATTAATAATCATTGAATTCTCACCTTCCTTAACAGAAGTGACTGAAATGCAAGTTCACAGAATCACAGAATTATTAAGGTTGGAAAAGACCTTTAAGATCATCAAGTCCAACTGCCAACACAACACCACCATGCCCACTAAACAGTGTCCCAAAGTGCCACATCTACACATTTTTTGAATACCTCCAGTGATGGTGACTCCATCATTTCCCTTAACAGGGTATAAAAACATAAGAGGTAAAGAGGAAAGCAATATGGGAAACAGGAAATAGTTTATAGTCAGCACAGGGTTTTTTTAATAGCAAAGAGTCTCTTCGCTTCCCATTTTAACTAGACGGGTCACATTTTCTACTGTCAAAATAGGCATGACTTCATTAAACTTGTGGAACTAATCCATTTTATCCTAGCAGAAAATATGTCCTTAGAGTCTTGATTTCTGATGCTGTGAGAACAAAATAAGGACTTACGTGATCAAGTAGTTAAAACAAAGACACTTTAAAATGTTCAGTAAATCTACTTATGCTGAGAAAGTATTGCCTTGCTTGCAAAAATGACCCTTATTTACACACTTTCAGAGATGTCTTAAGAAGAAGAATTGTATCGTTTTACTTGGGAAATTTGCTGACAAAATCATATGCTGGCTTGCAGGCATGCTTATTATTTGACTCTAAGTGCCTACTTTTAAACATTTTTCATAATAGAAGTATTCTAATTACCCAGTGTCTCTGTTGGATCAATGTTCCTTACGAGACATTATTATATAGAAGGCACTGAATATGCTGGATGTCTCAAAGGAAGATGGACAGTTATTACCAACTTTGGATCACTTTTATAGACATTGACAGATACTACCAAACTTAAATTAATTAAAGTGCTAGGTACTGACATTACTTTTTACCCTTAATAAAGTGTATATTCCATGTCTTTATCAGTTATTACTAACATCTTCATACGACCTTTACAGGAGCATTGAAATTCATTATATTGGCTTTATGGTACTGTAACGAAAATACTGCTGGATGTCTCTTGTGTCCTCTTTCACAGACCTTCACTATCAGTTTTAACATTAAATTAATGGTCTTGTTGAATCTAACATTAGAACTGCTGCTCTAAGAAACAACTCTCTCAAAAACATGCACTGTTGTTTCAGATCTCAAAAAGAACCTATAGTATTATCAAAATCAATTGGATAATATATTTAACCAAAATAGTATGACATACTTGTCACAGCACATAGGCGTAATGCACTCAGCATCAGGAGATTCTACAAAAATGTTGTTCTTCAGCCTATAAACCTAGCTGCATACAGTACATACAGTAACTGCTTTTCAGAACACCATCAGGTGGTGAGTAGAATGAGTTCATTTTACTTCGAGAGAAATCAGCTGAAAGCGAAGAGGGTAACAGAGTGTCATGGTATATGGTACATTTTAATACCAGAATCCTAATAGCAATAGAGGTGAGTGGTTACCAAGTATGTCAGTACCATTAGATCATGTGATTACACACCATGTGGCATACAACTTTTTTTACATGGAAGAAGAGGAATGTAGGAAATTATAACTCTGAAGAATGCTCTGCCTTTTTCTTTAACTCAAAATACAAATTAATTCGTTGCTATTTGCTTTAAACAGGTGTTATGTACCTGTGCACACATCCAGACATACATAATTAAATATCATATAGTTTAAGCTATGAGATAATCTGTGAACTTCTAAAAAGTTTTAACTTTGATTTGTAAATCAAAAACTTTCTCTGTATTAAAAATCTCTATAGGATGTAAGTATTCTATTCCAAGAATCCTATAAAGATTATTATGCACAATATAGTCAGACTAACTAGTTGTTATACTGATCACTTCACTAGTCATACATCATATGACAGACATTTCTCCAGTCTAAATAACTGACTAGCAACAGTAACTTCCTGATGTTTCTACTAAGCTTCACCATTCTTCTTTTACTCATACACACATCTTTAAGAATATTATCTTTACTCCACATGGCTTGAATTATTTAAAATCTCATATCAGATATCATCACCTAGTTTCATAGCTAAACATGGGGAAGAGCACAGAAATGACTTCAAAGAAATTTAGCAGATAATAAGTAAAAGTATCTGCCTTGCCTTCTGAAAGAGTATTTTCATCTAGAAAATTTAGTGTCTAACTTTTTCTGTAGTCCTGTTAAATGAATCACATTTAATCTCTGAGAGAGTACAAAAGCATGCCATAGGCTAAATGTAGTTTAAAAATGTGGTACTTATTTTTTGATTCCTTCTGCAATAAGGATGCTAATTTGAAGGACAAGTGGAAGCAAAACAAATAAGGAAAATGAAAGAGTGGCATGTTATTGTTTCAGTTGCCACTTACTAGTACACCTTTCAAATAATATACAACTTTCATGTGTATATTTTGTTTTGATACATGTATTGAAAAACTGTATTTTTTCTCTTCCATATCCTTTTGATTTTTTTTTGCTACCATCTTTCTTCAAGGTGAGAAAAGCAAAAGCAAATAACTCACACTGACACCTATTTCTATATTGCTTTCTGTTACTGTCCTTCTGTTTTCTGCCCTTTCACCTTTCTCAGACTAAACCAATTGAAACTTCTGCTTCAAAAGCTAAAGGACCGATCTCTTGCCCAACCTACTTTATATCCATATAATGCCAGGCTGTCAAATGAGGTCAGCTATTCCTCTTCATTTGCTATTGATATGTGAAGTCCAAAGGTATTCTATTGTGCATGTTTGAAGAATAAATAAAAAGTGAAGCATATCAACATTTTTTCCCAAACTGCAGGGATACATTTTGAGAGGAATGTGAAGGGGTTTAGATGTGTGACTCCCAGTTACCTTAATGGCAGCCATCTGGTTCAACGTCAATACATCACACTGAAATTTTACTGAGCGCTGCACATAAGCAATGCCGTAATTTACATCAGGCCACGTTTATTGGCCAAGAACTAAGAAAGAAAATTTTTGAAAGAGAAAACATTTTGCATTTATTCTACCAAGACCTCCGTAAGAGTATTTATTTTGTCTGGAATAATAACAACAAACAGCAAAAATAAGTAGCATAAACCTCTCTCCTCTGGCCTTTGTTTTATTTTCACTGTAATAGTCTTCTTGTCAACAGTATGGGCATGTATTTAAATTTGAGGAATCACACAGTGAAGGATACTATTTCAGATTAATTTCAGATAATGCCCAAAATCTCTGTCTCAGATTAAAACACTTCTCCTAGCTTTTCTCCAAGAAACATAGCAGGCTATATCTTCAACAGCAGATGAAAACCCACCTTATTATGAAGTCATGGCTATCAATCTCTTTCCCACATCCGCTGCCCAGAAGTATGCCAGAATTCCCAACAACTGCACAGGTTTTAAATCGGCGATTCTTCATTGGGGAAACTTCAGGGAGAAGGCTGTGCAAATCCTGAGAAATGTTTAGGGTGCGACGTCTGTCCAATACATAATGGATTACATCTCCTGGCTTGAAGCTGCTTTTGACCACTGAGACATCTCTTTCAGCATCCAAGAATCGAAGAATGTTCTTTCTGGGTTGACAGACAAATGCATGGGTAAAACCCAACACTCACTGCTTGCATAGAGTTTGTCTAATAGTAATACAGACTATACTGAACATACAACATAAAGCAAAGGGTAGAGTGCCAGACAGACTGAGGTCATTTCCCATGCTCTAGGATGGAGTTAGAGCAAAGCTGTTAGAACAGAGTTTGAATCTTGGTTACAACATAACACATAAATACTGTAGTGAGAGAGCTTAATGACTTCCTACAGACAAAGGCACTGAGAGACCATGGGAAGATGACTTTGGACATTAGAAGGCATACTAATTTTTATTATTTTACAAAACTTTGTAATAAACACATATTTGAAAAAGGACAAGAGCAGTTTGTTTTCATAGAAACATAGTTAAATATATAAGGTATGTATGGTTCAGGTAATAAATGCTTCACTACAATCTCATCTCTTACAGATCAGCTTGGTTCAGGAATGGCCATGTTTTCTTACAGATTCTTATTTCACCATAAGACTAACATATTCAGTTTAGAATAAACTTGCTCCTAATCAACTGAAGTTCAGCCAAAGTTATCCTAATTAACCTGAAATAAGAACACCCGCAGTCTTTTGTACCACTTTAAACAAAATCGGCTTAAAAACATACTGCAAATTAAACTACTGCAGCTCAGGGTCTAATCAAGCTGTTAGCTGAACTCATAGAACACTGAGGAACCTACCATCCATTTAAATCTGGTTAGTCCAATCTTTTATCTTGCTTCTCTGCAATTGTTTAAACTATTAGCCAGGTTCAGACACACATGACCAAGATATGTCAGTTTAACAAACTACCACAGATCAGGTGAACTATGGTAATTACACAGTTGTATACTCCCAGTCCAGAGCAAGTAACAGGTGAAGAATGTCTGCTTAAATGTCAGCTGAAGAAATTAAGTCATGGTAATACATGCTTACAGGGTTGGGGACAGGGGTCTTTAAAACTTTCAATACGTTCAAAAAAGACACTTTTAATGACTGCAGTTATGTAATGACTGAGACACTGGCAGTGTCGAGCAGTTTTCAGTACACATTTACTCATGGTATAAAAAGCTGCAAAGGACTCCAGCTGCAGGAGCCCCTGGTAGCTCAGGACTGCAGATGAGCAAAGCCTTGCAAGCTTGTGTCCATCCCTGCTGTGCAGATCATGTACATTTGTAAAGAGGCACAAAGATCACATTTGAACTTAAGCACATACTTAATTATAATACACTTACAGAGCAGACAGGGAGTGCTGAGCTGGGGCAGGGTGTTCATTAGGTGTTAATTTGAATAGAAACTTTTACCTCTGCAACTCTAACAAGACAAGAAGAAAAACAGTAACTTTGTATTTTCGGCTGCTGTCAGCAGGTAAGGTGGAATTTCAAACAGAATAGACATTTTGTTAAGTAAGAGAATGCTATTCTTACATAGTAAGTTTTTAGAGCAGAGCTTCCTTAGAGCAGATCAAAACAAGATAACTAGAGATGCCACTCTAGCAGTTGCAACATGCACTGAGAGTCGTAAAGGGGAAATAATCTCCCACAAGGTGAAAAGCGATGAACAATAGCAACACCACGCTCACCAGCCAGCTCTTGTGTCACTATCTCAAGAGGGGAGAATACAAACCTTGCAACCAGTGACACAAAATACTCACCCTGGAACTGACCTTAAAAGCCACAGGGGAAGTGAAACATGATAAAAATATTTTTTCAAGTGCTTCCTCTCATTTCTTAAACTAGAGAAAAAAAAAAAAAAAGGAAAGAATGTCTTGGGCTGTCTGTTTCAGCTCTCATGTATGAATGACGCAGCATCAGAGCAAAGACAGCTTGTGCTGAGGCATATGAGGGATTCAGAATAACAGAGCAGAACAGACAATGTTAAAATCCTGAGTGTCTAAAGCTTTTGGTAAGGCCAGGCAAGGTATTTCTGTAAAGGGAAGATGAAATCTCCACTTTAGCCTGTAAGTTGAATGGACTTAAAATCTCCACAGCTTTGACAAGCTTCCATTTTGTGGGTATTTTGCAACAGATACATAAATTGCTACAAAACGAAAAAGAGCAAGAAAGAAGGAATTGCCCAATCGAGCAGCATTAAAAACAACTAAAGTTCTTCATTACCTAAGAACAGAGATACCACAGCTGTGGCTGTAAAGAACAAGATTAAGTCATCAAAAGTTATCAATAGCATCAGCCAAGCTATCCAGTCACTCACTTCTCTCACGCTCTGATGAGAGAAGTGGTGACTGCAAATGAGTCTCAAAAAGCAAAAGAAGTTATGTGAAACGTAGAGAAACCTAGGGCGCTCACTAAAAAAAGTCACATGTGAACAACAGAAGATTCACTTTAGTCATTTAAAGCACCCATCCCTGATACCTAGAATGAATGGGCCTAATACCATTTTTGTTAGCAAACAAGTGGCAACATTTGTGCACGAATAGAGTATCTTGTGTATTGTTTTAAACCATAGGAGGAAGGCAGTGAAGTTATGCTAACAGTGCCAAAAAAATAAAAGCATCTTAGTTTCCATTATTAATTTGGTTACTTACAGTCAAAGCTTATTTACCTATCTATGTGCTTACATATGCTCACTGAAGTCCTCCAAAGGGTTTCAAGTGGACCTGAATTAGATTCAGATGATCAACCATTTATTTAACAGAGCTGAAATCTCCAAAATGACTAAGGAATTTATTTTTCAATAAAATTTTGAGATGGACAACAGTCACCTCCATCTTAGTATCTTCTCACATATTTAAAAATGTTTTCTTATCTGAAGTTGTCAGTAGCATATTCAATTAAGTGTATGCACAGGTATTACAGTACACATAAGAATCCTTGTATAAGAGATGTGTAATAATGCTAACATTAAAATATTTTAATTGATTCATCTGGCTGTATCTTTTAATACTGAAAGAAATAAGATTAAGAATGCAGAGTTCATGGTATTGTTTTAAGTTCCTCTGTGCTGCTGACTCATCTGCACCATGGGGATAGTAGTACTTCCCATTTTCACATAAAAGCTAAGAGAAAAAAAAATTTACAAAAGGAATATGACAAAACCTGAAAGTAGACTGAGTGTCTCAGTCAGTCTTGATGCTGGTTAATAATAAGAATTTGTTTAAATCTCTTGTTCTTTTTGTCCCACAAAACACACTGAAAATAGCACAACAAGGTTATTCTGATTAAACTGACATGACAAATTAGTTCAAAAGAAGTGCTAATCCACATCCAGCTGCATATAAAATTCAAAAAGTAAGCTCAGTTAGAGGAAGGAAAAAACCAGCATGGTTTTAATAAATCGTGAAGCAAAGGTGTTCTGCAACCTTAAGCTAAAAAGTATAAAGAAACAGTTTTATTTTTGAGGTGGTCTTCAAGTTTTGTTTTGATGAGTAAAACTGTATCTGAGGTGTGGCCTGAGCCCTTTGTGGGCAGGTGAGGCAGATGTGGCTTGCTCTTGTCTGAAGCCAAGCAGCTGTTTGCAACATGTTTACATGACTCACAGAAACATGGTGTCACAATCTGTGGTTGACCTAGGGTTGTTCTTGATAATCAGAAACAGATGTTCATAACATTTAAATACCAACTACAACTCCCAGTTATCTGATAAAGTACATGTAACAAATAGCATTGTCTCTGAAGAGCTTTCCAAATGATACAAATATGTATTGCTCTGGGGCAACATGGTGACACTTTTCTACGTGCATTTTTATGGTTTTATTTTGTACTGTAGTCTTTGTACTACACAACTATTATATAATGGCAAACTCTCCCTCATCTGCCTCAGAATTGTGTGGATTAAGGAAACAAAATAACTTACTTCAACATTTGACTTTTAAGATTAGAAATAAATGTATATTTTTAGACATTGTCAAGGACACTGAAATATGACCTCCAACACTTTTCCTGGTAAAATAACTTCTTTCAAGTGAGGCAGTGCCAGAAAGCCTCACTGCTGGGGCATCTGGACTTCTCTGGATCCCAACTGTGAGGGGAAGCCTCTGAAGTGCATCCTCAGTACTCAGGAAGCTGAGCTAGCTCACCAGCAAGCACATTATGGAAACAAAGATGGACTAAGTGATTACCTAGTCCACACTCTGCCTCCAATGAAGATACGCCTTTACATCAACCCCAGCCGATGTTTATCTAATATATTCCTAACATCCTGTGGTGGGTACTCAGCAAACTCCCCATGTAGTCTACGTCAGTGCTTCCCTAGCCTTACCAGCAGCACAACACTCCTTGTGCGAGCTCAGATCCTTCCCACAGCAACTGAAGCCTGTTCTTTTTCCTTATACCTTGCCTGAGGAGGACAGACTATTCCCTACTCTTGGCAATAGCCTTCATTTACCTGAGGCTAAGCAGCCATGCAACTTTTTTTTAAACTTTGGTTTTTTTAATTGGACAGGTCATGTGTTGTAGATCTCTGACCCCTCTTGTTGCTCTCCTGCAGACTTTCTCTGACTGATTCAGACAGATCCTTTAAAAAACTTAATTTTCTAACCCTAGCAAGTCCTGATGGTGCTTCACACTTCCCATTTGGAAGGCAGAAGATGGCTCTCAGCCTTTTGAGATCAGCAACAACTGCAACCTAGGTAAAGTATACTTTTTGCCAGCTAAGTTAGTTCAATCAAAAAACAAAAGAGAACAACATAAGAATGAACTGTGAGGTAACACAAGGTCACAGGCTGCCCTAGAAGTTGGCTACAGCTACAGTTCCTGTTGGCATCCTGAGGAGGCAGTGGGGACTGAAAGTGTTTGCACCTATGTTGGGTTTGACTTTAGTCTGACTGAAAGGGAGTTTTAAGAAAACCTCTTCAAGGAAAGCAGCATTTAGAATCATAGAATCATGGAATAGTTTGGGCTGGAAAGAGACTTTAAAGGTCATCTAATCCAACCCCCGATTTGGATTTGTTAAAAACACACCCAACTCAACTAACCATGGAAAGGTTCCTGCCATTCCCCAGCCCATGGAGAACCACACAAACATAAGTGTCATATTATGGCAAGTTGTTGTCTGACTCTATCCCCATTCTAGCCCTCCTCATGCCCTTCAGGGCACCCATCTCCCTTGACCAGACAGTAGCTGAAGCACATACTAATTGAGCACAAATCTTCAGTGAGCATGCAAAAGGAAAAGAGGGCTTTTAAATAGAGCATGACCCAACTACTGCTTACCATATGAAGGCCAGCCATATGTCAGCTTTTTATGAAGTTAAGCAAGTTAGAGTCAAAAGAAAGGACTTAATCACCCCAACTGATACTGAAGACTGACTTTTCAGTTCAGGTAAGGGTCTAAGGAGGCAAAAAACCCTTACAGCTTATTACGACTAAACCAGACTAGAGAACCTCAGTTTGCATGTTTTAAGACACAGAAGATCTGAAAGAAAAAGCGCAACTGGCCCCAAAATGTTGCTCCAAAAGCTTCAGAGCAATTGTAATGCTCCATTGCCAGCTCAGTATTCACTGCTTGCACTTCAGGGACTTATCATGATGTTTCATATTAACTTGAAAGATATACAATGATATACAATCGGAACCTTCCTAAGGAGGAAGTTGCACTTTTTTTTATGATGCTTGTTAACATCTTACAAGTTCTCACACTTTTCTGACAGGAAATTTCCACTCATCGAGCTCTCTGTTACATTGTAAAGAGATGAATACAACCTTGACACACTTCTTTTTTTCATTTTGCCTTCCTGCAATTCAAAACCTTCATCTGCTCCTTCCAACATAAATGCCCACATTTAATAAAAAGTAAGTGGAAGAAGAAAGTCACACACTTAGACGTCAGACTGTAGTTCATTTCACACAGGCCACTTGATGTGCTGGCATCAGTCGCATGTGGAAGGCTTCCCCAGATAAGTTTGTACCAAGTCAACCACATCTCTCCTTTCTGGAAGTATGGCCTTCAATACAAGTGAAATTTCCTAACTTCCGTAACTGGAAAACCTTCACATTGCTACACAGAGTTAGAAAGGACTTAATACAGAAAACCTTGCAGACAGTGGATTCTCTCTCTTCTTCATGACTGAAATCATTCAGACTGAAGGGGAGCCAAGCAAACAGTCTTTTTTCCTTTGGCACACGAATTACTAATTACTCTTCAAAGAAGTTGTCAGCAATCAGAAGGTAACATTAGTTGGAAAAAATCACTCTCCCACTAGACCAATCATGATTGGCAAGGCAGCAAATTTGCTACAGTCTCAAGTAATTAATAATAACCATCATTTACACGTCAATCACAGAAAGTCTAGCTCTTTCTTTTAACGCCTGCTCAACATGCCCAAAGGGCTGCTGCCCTCTCGAAAGAGCTTCTACACTCCCTTAACTGCCTCTTCTGGCTCAAAAATCCCAGAGACCATCTTGTGACACCAGAATTCCATTGGAAGATTTTCATCCTCCCATGAGGTCCTGATAAAGGAGCTTTTTCACTCATTGACTCCTATCTGAGCCTGGCCTTGCCAAGAATTCATAGGACCCCTCAGGCTGATAGACTGGTCACTAACCTGAGGAAAAATAAGATGGCCAGAGATTACGCCCATGGTCAACAAAGCAAACAGCAAAGCATAATACTCCAGCTGCCAGCCAACTAGGTATAGACATACCATTGATCAACAGTCCTCGCACAAAGTAAAACTTACTATCAAATATTTTCTGCATTTAAAAATTGCCAGTGTCAAGCTGATGTAAGACACAAAAGCAGCTGCCATGTATGGGTGATTGTAAGTTTTATGAAATATCTTTATGCTGTACAGTAATGCTTTCACAAATTAGTTCTCCACTGCTAAGAACTGGTAATGTTTCACACATTATTCAACAGGCACTAGCTTTTTTTTTGTTTCTTTCTTATCCTTTTTTACTATGGTCAACCTCACACCACAAGACCACCATGTTCACATTAACAGTTGCAATAATAGAGTACGAATCATCTTCACAATCTACATAGTGCATGTAACATACTTTGGAGGGCTGAACAGTTAGTTTAACCATGAGAACACTCTAGGAGATTGCTAGACACATTTGAAGTTAGTCCTGATAGGTCCATAAGTGTAAAAATATTTATGGCTAAAATGCTTCTTACTGCTATAACAGGGAAGAAAAGTGTATAGCAAACCGCCTATAAAAGTGAAAGAAGAATGCACAATGTTTATTCAGTGTCAGGGTGGAACACATATCACCAGTGGCTGCATGTGGCTTCCTCAGGGAAAAGCATGCCAAACTTCCCTCCCTCACTGCTGAGTACCATAACTGAATGCACTACGCTTATTAGCAAGGAGGATTTCTGGAAAGAATACAACTGGCTGGTAGCACTGATTCCTTTTTTTTTGTCAAATTTATGTCAAATTTCAGCCCTAAGTCACATTTAGCCTAAACTCTTTAACTGGTTCAGTGAAAACACCTGCTTTCTGCTCCAGTGTTCATGATGATAGCTATTTCATCTCAAAACATGACTAGCAATATAGACATCTAAATATCCTCAGCTTTATGCTCTCTACTGTACAGAAAATCTTTACGCTGATAAACTGAAACCTTTACTGCTTAAACCAGTGTACAAGATGCATGTTTTTCTTCACTGTACTATTGAGATTAAAAAAATCCTCCACTGTACAATTTTTTTTAAAAACACTACATAATCACATCATAATGCTTCTTAAGAGCACATTAGTAACTTATAAAGAGAGAAGTTTCCACATCCAGCCAACAGTAAGGAAAAAACTGATTTTGAAACTTGTGATTTTAGTAGATTGAGGTGATACACATGTAGTAACAGGCTTAAAAATATCTAAAGCATTCTCTACTGTTTTACCTCTTGCCTGAATGATGTATTTTGCTTTTGAAACAAGTGAAAAATGAGCATAAACCCAGCTTAATTTTCTCTCTTAATTTTAATCCAAAAGTTACTGTAATACTTTTACTTGTTTCTTGTTTGGCTTGAGCAGCAAGGTGTACTGGTTTTAAATGGTTCTGAAATATGACACTTTTTCAACAAAATGACTGGAAAGAGTTATCTGTCTCTACTTATAGTCACTCGACGGCTTCCAAATCAGTTTACTTCACAAGTAAAACAGTGTGCCTTTTTCTCCTAATTGTTAAATATAACCTATGATTTGAAATTTCAACAGTATTATTCTGAAGTTATTCAATATTTCTCCAACTCAAATTGTCAGTTATACACATATAAATTTTAAATACTGTTACTGACATAGAAAATCTGCTTATCTTTCCTAGATTATCTTGGAGGAGAACTTAGCCTTTACAGAACAACCACACACTGGACAAACAGGCTGCATCTGAACAGACAGTCCTGGAAGAAACTCCATTCCTAAGCTGTATATATCTCAGCTGCATTTTAGGGCAACACCAGGTCTTCACTAGTACGAAACCCAGGTGCCTGGGAAGCAGCTGAGTGCAGGAGGGTCCCTTAGTCTAGGAAGACAGGGAGTGGGGACTGCACAGAGCTCCAGAGAGCACTTGCCAGGCAGTTGAGACATAGCTACAGGCTCCCAGGTATTAATAATGCATACCCAAATCCTGCCACTCTTTCTATCCCTGAAGCTGTTCCTCAGCATTTGTAGCAGGGTTCCAGTATGTCCATCATGGCATAAGACTTCCAGAACATCAATCCTTTATTAAAGCTTCGTACATTTCTGAGCTACCCATATTTTCTGCATCTTTTATAATTAGGGACATAAAATAACTGTCATTAAAAAAAAACCTAAGTTCTTCAGTCTGAGAAGCCATGCTTTCATACATGGAAACATTGCCTATTTAAGTGTTTTGTAAGCTGTTCCTTTAAAAAAAAAAAGCTAGAAAGGGAAATCACATAGAAACTGGATTTTAATTAGATCAAATTCCTATTCAAAATCTCGATATTCAGAAAATCAAGTCTAGTCTGCTATGTGATTGCTGCTAAAAATTGTTATTTTCTATCATTTTTCACGGAATGTGACACTCCTAGACCTCCACACTGCCAACCCATGCTCCATACAGTTCTCTCACTTAATCTCTTCCTGCTTAAGAAAGGGAAGATACAATGACAATACAACACACTCAGAGGCTTCTGCTTTCTCTTGTCTCGGGCCCCGAGGTGAGCAGGCCCACTGTAACTACTAAGACACATCAGAATTATCACTGACTTTAACTCTGCTACTGTGTTTCCCCCCTCAGCATGAGCATAAGGTTCTTTTTGGCCTCTCTGACTTCAGGAAAGAAAACTGCGTAAGATATGGGTATTGTCAAAACCTGATCTTGTTGACTCGAACGAACCACAGTCAGGGCTGGATTCGCAGCACCTAACGTCCTCGCTCTTGACTCCCACATCTAAGTTGTCTGCCTAATCTCCCTTTGTAGTTAAGGAAGAAAAAATGCTATGTTCAGAGTACTTCCATCTGTTCTATTTCAGACCTTTAGGATGAGACAAAATCATGTCCGAAAAGTACCAGCTTCTCACCACTGACTGTGAGAGTTCTAGACAACCAACTCAAATGTGAACATGCGTAATGTAGATACCGACTGCATGGATCTGACTGACGCAGATCAATGAAAACATTTTATTTATTCTTATGCCGGATGCCTTGACTTTGGAGTCTAATGTAATTTAGTTGCATTTAACACTAAACCCTAAATATGTACAGTTATAAAACATCCACTTGCAACCATAAATCAAATCACTATTTTCCAGACCAAAAGAATTATAGGCAATCTGAAAATAAAAGAATTACAGGTAGTATGAAAGGAACTGCTTTTTATTTAAGACACTCACCTTATTTCCAGTACCAAAGAAGAATTGATTTTCCAACCTTCTACAGGATGCTGGAAGATTGAGGAGCCACCCTTTCGAATTATCTTATCAGAGCTATTGATCATTGATCTACTCAAACTCAGTTCACCATCTCTGCAATGCAATATAGAAAAGACACAATTACATCAAGGCTAACTCTAGTTTTAAGTAATTTACATCACAAGCACCAGTGATGCTTTCTTTTATTCACAACAAAAAGAAGCAAATAAACTGTACCTGTGAGAAAACTATGAGACACCCATTACCTCATACTTGAATATGCAATTTACGATTTTAAATATGTTCATAATGAAATACATGTAACAAAAATTACAAATAAATTCCAAATTGTGAACCTGCACCAAACTTCAGTGTGTTTGTGAGGCAGTTTCTGCACTTCCAAATGTTCCAAATTTCCAGTACTAAAGTAAGAATTAAGTGTTAACTTTCAAGCCTTCACCCTTGGCATGTCCTACAATAATGGCCTAATAGACTCCCTTTGCCTCCTATTCATAGAATCATAGAATCTTTGGGTTGGAAGGGACCTTTAAAGGTCATCTAGCCCAATGCCCCCACAATGAGCAGGGACATCTTCAAGTAGATCAGGTTGCACAGGGCCCCATCCAGCCTGACAGGGTTCAGTTATAATATAGTAAGCTGTGGGTGATGACCCCTGAACATCTAATGAGGTATCATAATGTTACCAGCTGCAATGTTATTAGCCAACAGGGTCACACAAATGTGACAGAGAAGCTAAAAAACTGCAAGCACAACTTCAGGTGTTAGGTCTAAAATCTGTTTTTATCTCCATACTGTTTGGAGATAAACAACTCCAAGATGTTCCCACTATCTTCCATACTGTTTCCATTTAGGTGCCAGAGAAACATTCAGCTGAGTTTAAACATAGCTGTTAATCATAAACATATCAAAGTTGCTGGATCTACCATGGAGAATGTCTTGTATCTCGGGAGTAAATATAACAGTAATATACAGAAATTTCTTTATCTGTTAAATAAGTGTGCTCTGAAATACTGCCAATAACGATAACTTCATTTAGCTTTCAAACAGAACTTTTGGCAACTGGCCATTCAGACAACAAAATGGAAAAAAAGTGAGACTGTAAGCTTTCTAGGGGATCACTGACTCTTGTTTTCCTGTGGCTGTAAGTTCTTAAAAAAGTGGGATCCTGGCCCTTAGTAAGAGCTACAGCAACATTACTGCTGTATGTATATATATAAAAAGCATTAATATTTGGTAAAGTACATAGCAGACTAAACTGAAACTAACCTGCAATGGGACATTAATTAAGCTAAATCAACAAAACTGGTAAAATGTAGTCATCTGCAAAAAGTGCTATGATTGCAAAAGCCCCTGTAACTAGTAAATCTCTATTACACACTTCTTCAAAAACAACCCAGCATTACTAGCAACGCTTATACCCCCTTGTTCCCTCGATGCCAACATGCTGCAGCACTTGATGTTGCACTGACTCATAGGTAAGACTGCCACCTATTGAAAAACCTACAACTTTAAGCAATCGTGTAGGTACAAGATCTATATGCAAATTATCCACATCATGTTAACTTGAGGGCATTGGAGAACGCTGCAAAAGTCCCTAAATTCAGTAACCAGAATGTAATTAATTATTTTTGCTATTTTAAAATGTTTTATTCCCTAAACATTTTCCATAATGTCTGTAAATATATTTATTAAACATATTTTCCTGCATATATTTTCTAGATGCATAGAGTGTATGTGTCGAAAGGAAAATTACCAAAATACACCCACGTAAAGTACTCAGTCTAAAAGTACTTCAGAGATGTCACCGGTTTATGCTGGGTTAAACGTCATCCAGCAGACATTTTAACAGCGACACGTGACAAAACTTTGCAACAAAATATGTTGCCAACAGCTAAAGCACCATAGCATTTGAAATGTGGTAGTCTTCTATATTCACAGTTTACATAGCAGTGAGCTATACAGATTGTACAGTAAAACAATGTTAAATTATGTTCTCATGAGCTAGAGGAAGGTCATAGGCACTTTGTGTTAAAGTTCTGCTATGAACACAAAGATGTCCACTTACATGTTCCTCTCCCTTTTGTTGGTATTGTTTTATTTAATTTTCATTTAAAACAATATTAAATGGACACAATAAAAAGCTAAATTTACTCCAAAAAGTCTTCATTGTGTAAATAACTGTGAAATAAATTTGGGCTACTCTGTATCGTCTAGAATCACTGCAAATCCTGTCTGATATAAATGAAACAGGTGCTGTAGTGTGACAGCAACGTGTGGCTGACTGTCAAATGAATTACCTTACCTTGGTGACCAATCAGACCAATATAATAAGATTCTTCTCCTGAAGACAGTTCATTAAATATAAATGTCTTCAACGATATTCCGTATGAGTAGAAAACAGTTTAAGAAACACTGCATTCCACATAATACGTTTGTCTCATTAGTTGCTTAAACTTTAAAGGAACATTACTGTGTAGATAGAGAAAGGCATGCTTTTGCAATTACTCTCCTAGCAAAGTTTGCTAGGAAAACGCAGATGATTTAAAGTTTATGACATACTTTGGAATTGCATATAGCCCATATTGGAACATCGAGAATTTACCTGTAGTGTCACTAATAACCATAAAATAGGCCACCTTGTACATTCACAGTTCTCCATTATTGGTACTCTGGAAGTAAAACATCCTATGGAAAACTGACTTTGCTTGCCCATGTGGCCAGTCAAAAATAACGAAATGGCATGAGCCCTTCCTTCAGGAGCAAGGCAAGTGTAACATCAACAGTGGCAGCAGATACTAGTATTACATTTAAGGGTTTTCCTTCCCTCTTTATACAGTAATGGATGAGATGACAGGTTGGGAAAGAAACAATATTCCAATAACTTTAGCCAAAGTCAGTAGCACCATACTGCACAAGAAATGTCACTGACAGCAAAGAAGTAGAGATATCACTAAATGACCTTGCAGAAATGCATTATATCTATATTTAAAGCATTGCTAAGGACATATATATTTATGACTAAATATATTTATTTTCTTTCGTTTAATATTAAATCATCAGTTCATTTTAGTATCTTTTAAACTGTGTCAAACAATGTATCATAAGCTGGAGGGGGATTTTTTTTTTAAAACATATATGGATTCTACCTAGTGACTGATTTCTGAATAATTTTAGCAGCTACCTCTAGTCTGACTGGAAAGAGTACTTATTAAGAAACATGGGTATCTTTAATGCTGATTTCACCTCACACATTCGTTTTCACATGTATTTTTGCATACCTACAACCCCAAAATTTTAAACTTCTGTACATCTTGTAAGTATGCAGATACCACAGCATAGTGACAGAAACTGGGCTTACTGAATAAGAGGGAAAGTTACCATCTATTTGTGACAATCTTTTAATACCAAGGGATGCAAACATCACATCATTAACCATGCACGCACACAGGCGAGGCCAACCCTTGCTCCCGGGAGGTGCCGGGGCCCCTGCCGCCCAGCTGTGCCCAGTTGCATCCAGCTGCCAGCACCCTGCTCTCGCGCCGGCCTGCCTGTGCAAGGGCCGAGGAAGAGGGATGTAGTTTCTGCCTTTAACTCTGGGGACCACGGGGGCGAAGGGGGGACTAAGTAAATTGTAATTGCCCCAGCTTCCTCCATGCCCGTACGAGCACTTACAACGTCCTTATGCTTCCTCCTCAAATTAAGGTAAGGGCTTACATCAAATGACGAAAATCTGCTGTGAATGAGGCTCCCCCCAGTCGATTTGCACAAGCACACAGAAATTGTAAGCCCCTTGCCCGCCTTTGCTGATTTCACTAAGCCACCACAAAAAATTATACCCCTCCAAGGAGAAACAGGCTTGGCTGAAAACCCAACATCTTTGCAGGATGGCTGCAAGTTGGAAGGAAAATGAGGAACACAGGCATGCACGTACACAAACACAAAGAGAAAGCTGAGGTGCAAACAGAAAAATGGCAAGGGAGTTTTCGCCTTTTATTTTCAACCGAAGACAGGCAGAAGAGGGAAAATATCTAATAGAGGGTCGCAGCGAAGGACTAGAGCTCCCAGTGGAGGAGCCTCGGGAGCTAAGGTGGATGTCCCGCACACTCTCAGAGCAAGCATCCCCAAGGAGCATCGAAGGAGCACAGGTCCCAGGCAAACTTCAAGGACGGAGACAGCGGCGACCCAGCGCTGCCAGCGGCCGCGCACCCCGGCACGCTCACCTCGCAAGACCTCCCAAAGCAGGAAACGAGGCACAACGCGCTCCGGCACCACCACCTCCAGCCACACTGGCCCTCGGGGAACAGCCGGGGCCAGGTGAACTCAACCCGGCG